AGTGCACAGAAATTAGATCAATCTGATACCATATATATATATATATATATTAGAAATGATTTGGAAAATATTTGAACACCTTGTCTTAAAATATTTTATTCATCATGTTAAAATAAAACGTTCCATAACCATTTTTCTTTTCTTTTTTCAATTTTTCCGGGGTTTTTCCGGGCCTTCACATCTCTATTCCCAGAACGCTGCCACTGTTGCTGTGGTGGGGAGAGGAAGCAGGCAGGAGGCTGGGAGAGTGATGGGGGCAGAAAGGGAGAGTGATGGAGGGGGGGTAGAAAGAGAGAGAGAGAAAGAGTGATGAGGTGGGGAGGCAGAAAAACAAAGAGAACGATGACGGGTCAGAAAGAGAGAGGAAGTAACATACATGGAGGAGAGAGAGAGAGAGAGAAAGAAAGGGGGGCAGAAGGGAGAAAGAGTGGAAGAGAGGCAGGGGGAGGAACCAAGGGTGTGAGGAATGGGATAACCATCCTGCAAGTTTCTTGTGGGTCTCCACTTTTATTATTATACGTGTCATGTGTGTAACTCTGTTTTAGTCACACCTCTCTCTCAAGGGGTCAGGTTTGTCATAATTTACTAGAGAAGGGAGGATGTCTTTTCCAGATAATAGATCTGCTAGCCCTCTGAAACATGGAGCATGCAGAATGTGTACCACTTGCCGGAGTGTTTGCCTATATTAAAAAAGCTGCGATCTTGCACAAGTCCCATTCTCTAATGTCACACTGTTCGTACAAGTAGATCATTTATTTGAACAGTTTTTTTTTTTTTTTTTTGCAATAATGTATTTTTCATGTAACTATACAGGTACATTGGTGTGATAAGAACGTAACTTCCTTTTACAAAACAAACTAACCCCACTCGTATATAGCAAAGGTCGCTGCTAATTTGCCCTCCTAAGAAAACTGGACTTTAAAAAGCTGAACCCAGGAGGCTTTGTATAGCAACTATCGCAAAAATAAATAGCAATACTAACTTGATCTGTGTTTTCATGCTTCTCGTAGGGTAGCTTCCCTGCAAGAGCAAAGGAAACCTAAGGTGTCTTTAGTCAAAGTGTAAAGTTGGCAGATACGTATAAAAAAGTTCTGCAGATACCTTTTTGAAAACTATATTGGTCTTAGGGGCTATGTTATGGGAAGAGTTCCAGTTCCATAATGCCATGGTTGTGCTTAACTATCATCATCCTTTTGCAGGTTAGCAACATTTTAAAAGTCGTCTACCCACCATGAAAAGGAAGAGCATTTCGGACTACTTTGCCGTGACCCCAGCGAAACGTGAAGTGATTGAAGATTGTCCCTCAGCATCAGGGGAATCCTCAAGCAATCCAGACGGAATGTCAACTCCTGACAGTAATCCAGGTATGGAACTTGAAAACCCGTCGACTGGCGAGTCAGGACAGCCCATTTCTGCCTCTGCAGCCAGTGAGTGCTTCTGGCCCACGTGTTGGACTGTAGAGCAGAAGAATGATCATCTCCAGAAAAATGACTGGTTATTTTTCAACGCTGGCAAGTTAGGTTGTTCGGTGTGTAAAAATGTCGGCGCCTCGGAGACCGAGAAGACGACTGTGGGCATGCGCCTTTCTAAAGAGTGGATACGCGGTGAGGTGTCATTTAATGGAGAATTGAGGAAACAGCAGCTAACATCTCTCAGGAAAAAGATTTTTGAACACAGAGAAAGTGCGGGTCATAAAGCTGCCGTCAGAATCACAGCCGAAGCCAGGGAAGAATCAAAAGCGGTGTGTTTGTGGGCTCAAGAAAGAGAGGTGAAAATCACCAAGAAAGTATTCCGTACAGCCTATAACGTGGCTAGGAAGAACCAGCCTTTTAGTGATTTTGAGGCTGACATTGACTTGCTAGAATTAAACGGCGTTGATGTGGGGACAATTTTGCACTCGGCTGCTTCTTGTGCACACATTGTGGACCACATTGGCAGCGAAATGAGAAGCACACTGATCGAGAAGATTCTTGACTCCAAGAGTAAACTTTCATTGATCCTTGATGAATCGACTACCGTGGGTCGGGAATCTGTACTGATAGTGTATCTCCGCGCCTACATTGAAAAGGTGCGCATGGAGGACCCTGTGGATCACTTCATTAGCTTGATAGAGCTGGACGACGTGACGGCAGATGGGATATTCAAAAGTCTGATGTCTGCCCTTGAGTCACTAAGGATCACTGAGGAAGTCTTGAAGGAAAGTTTGGTTTCGTTGACTTGTGATGGGGCTGCGATGACGATGGGGTCCCATGAAGGAGTCGCAAAACTTTTCAAAGACAGATTCCCTTCCATCATTGTATGGCCTTGTGCTAGCCATAGGCTGGAATTATCCGTCCACGATGCCGTGAAAGAGGTGTGTGGCGTCAATCGATTTAAGAGTTTTATCGACAAGTTATATGTCCTGTACCGCTCGTCTCCCAAAAATGCAGGGGAGCTCAAGGCACGTGCGGCCACGTTAGAGGTGGAGATTTCGAAAATTGGAAGGATCCTGTCTTCAAGATGGGTCGCCTCTCGTTACAGAACTGTGATGGCCGTCTGGAAGGATTACGAAGCCCTAGTGCTTCATTTTGAAAAAGGTAAAACTGCGAGTGGTCGAGATAGAAAGGAGAAGCGCGCCTATGAAAGTCTTCTGGAAAAGATTACATCGGCAGAATTCGTGTTGGACCTCGGATTGCTTTCTGATGCTTTGCAAGAGCTCTCAGAATTAAGGGTCGATCTGCAGGAGAGAACTGCTGATCTGTACACAGCCCAAAGCAAGATTGAGAGTCTCGTTGAAATATGCGGGAAGAGAGGCACTGCTCCAGGTCCTTACTATACAGAAGCACTTGAGGCAACAGGAAAGCTGCAATTTAAGGGTGTCCAGTTGCATAGAAGAGATAGAACTGATGAGCCACCCATCTCCCCAGTTGCATTTTATGAGCAACTTAAGAAACTTCTTCAAAAAAGACTGCTTTCAAAAGACGACGCAGAACTGTCAAGATGTGGAAGCGTTCTGGAGTCTAAGAACTGGCCAGCAAACTCCAGTGACCGCATTCTCTATGGGGAAGGAGAAATAAGCCGATTGGCAAGAAGGTTTCAGCTGAATGAGAGAAAAGCCATTCGGGCCTTCAGAGAGCATCTGAAATACGGAGAAGAAATGTCCGAGGAACTGTCTTCAATCCGCCGCATTCTCAATACTGTTGCTGTTTCCTCCAGCGAGTGCGAAAGGGGATTTTCCGAGATGAACTTGATTGTCACCCCAGAAAGGTCCTCCTTGAAGGTCAAAACGATAACATCCTTATTGTTTATAAGAATTGTTGGACCTCCTCTGAAACTCTTTGACCCAACAAAGTTCGTAAGGACATGGTTGCTTCAAGGACATCGTTCGGCTTCGGACACACAAAGCAAGACCCGAAAGAGAGTGGAGGAGTCTGATGTCAGGATGACACTTTGGAAAGCCCTGTGCTCCTGAGGTTAGTTGTTCTCTATGTGCACTCTGTTCTAGAACAAGGTATGCTGTCTTTCCCTTTTTGTAATGGCTGCTGGATCTCTCTTAACATATTTTTCCCCAGGGGAACTCCTACAAGATACGGGTTCCCTGGGGAACTCCAGCAAGACAATGACCCTGCCCTACCCCACCTTCCTGAGTAGATATAAATTACCTGCCTACCATTTTCCTTCTCACCTTGACACAGAGAGTACTCTCTCTTTCTGTGTTATACCTCTGAGGGTGCCAGTCACAGCTGCTGGTGAAACGTCAGGTCCTACAATGCCAAGACCACGGCCATACAGGCCGGAAAATCTACAACAACTAATGAACCCCGGCCCTGAAAGCCTTCGAAAACATAGCAAATTCCTTTGTTTCCGCTCTGTCACACTTCTCCCTAGCACGCACAGAAAAAAAAGCACATGCTGTCTCTATCTTGCCCCATGGAGGCTGGACATGCGTCCAGCATCCAGCACCATTTAGTTAGAGTAGGTAAACTATACCTATCTCTTACTTGCACTCTCCAGCATGTATTTCCTTTAGTAGAAGTTGCTTATTAGTTTTAGGACTAATTGCCAGTTTGGTGTAGTGGTTAAGTGCGGAGACTCTAATCTGGGAGAACCGGGTTTGATTCCCCACGCCTCCACTTGCAGCTGCTGTATGACCTTGGGCAAGCCCTAGTTCTGGCACAGCTGTTCTTGAAAAAGAGCCGTTTCTGTCAGAGCTCTCTCGGCCCCACCTGCCTCACAGGGTGTCCCTTGTGGGGAAGGGGAAGGCGTTTGTAAGCCGTTCTGAGACTCCTTTAGGTAGTGAAGGGCAGGGTATAAATCCAATCTCTTCTCTTCTTCTTCATTGCTGACTCCGTGTGCCTTTGTAAGTCTGTTTTGCCACACCTAGCCCCAGCTCTGCTGCGTTAAAGCCTTGAGCACTCTGCTGCTTTTTACAGTTCTCTGACAAGTACTTCTTTCTCTTAAATTCTCTATCCATGCATGATTTTGTAAACCTCTATCAGATAGCTATCAGTCTTATCATACCACCCCTCAGTCATCGTTTCTCCGAGCTAAAGAGCCCTGACCTCTTGAATCTTTCTTCATAGGGGAGGGGTTCAGATCCCCTTCATTGTTTTAGTTGCCCTTCTCTGCACCGTTCCCCATGCCCCGGGAAGCGGGGGGAGGGGTTGCCAGGCCTCCCGGGGCGCCGTGGTTCCCCGCAGCACCAGGAAGCACAGTATGGGGGGGGGGGCAGACCTCAGCAGGGCCCGGGGAAGCAGAGGAGGAGGTAGGCAGACTTACCTTCCTCCTTCGGCATCCTTGTGGCACTGACTAAGGCCTGCTGGGAGCAGGGGGCGGGGCTTGGTCATGTGACCGCCCCACCCCCAGGGCTGGGCACTCCCGGAGCTCCGGCCCCATCCGACCCCTGCTCCAATAGAACAGAGTAAAAATTACAAATATTTGGGTCTAATATTCAGTGAAACCTTGAGTTGGAATGCCCACATTGCCTCCATAAAATCTTCGGCAAATAAGATCATTGGTGTGGTACTGTATTGCCTTCTGGGACTGGGAGGCACTCTTCCATGGTGGTTCTCATCCTACCTTTGAGGGTGGGTTTCAAAGTGTGGCGCTGGGGCACTGCCGCTCTGCCCCTCGGCCTACAGCAGTGATGGCTAACCTTTTAGAGACCGAGTGCCCAAACTGTGACCCAAAACCCCCTTATTTATCGCAAAAGTGCCAACACGGCAGTTTAACCTGAATACTGAGGTTTTACTTTAGAAAAAACAACTCATACATTAACTTAAGATGATCCAAACAAAGTAAGGAAAGCAATCCCAAAGTCTTTCATTTACTTAAAATTATTTGGCAGAGAATTCGACACTTTAATGACGGTCTGGGCCTGGCTGGGGCGATGGCACGCGTGCCCACAGAGAGGGCTCTGAGTGCCGCCTCTGGCACCCGTGCCATAGGTTCACCACCACTGGCCTACAGGATTCCCAGCGGTTCCATGTTGCCCCCCATACTTTAAAATATCTATGTAAAACTGCTGGGAGAGGTCATCTGGCGATCCCAGGGAAGCCATGGAAACTGTGGACAAGTGCCTGGAGGCGTTTTTGGAATAGGTGAGGACTAACAAACTGGAACGTAATCCTGACAAAACAAAAGTGCTTCTGTTAGGGGGAAGTTCTGACCCAGGAAATGGGTTATCTCCTGTCCTGGACGGGGCTGCACTCCCCCTAAAGGAGCAGGTTCCTAGCTTGGGGGAGGGGGTGCTCCTGGACCTGGGCTTCCTGTTAGATAAACAGGTAACAGAGGTGGCCTGGACTGCCTTTCACGAACTTTAGCTGGTGACCCAGCTGCAGCCTTTCCTGGGACCTTTCCACTGTGGAATGTGCCCTGGTAACACGTAGATTAGATTACCGCAATGCACTTTGTGTGGGGCTGTCCTTGAAGTTTGTCCAGAAGCTACAAGCAATGTTCCCGCTAAGCTGTGGAGTCCTGTGAGCAAAAATTCTACTTTGTGAGCTACTGGCATTAAAGTTGTGAGCGAGCGATTTGGCTACTGCAGAGATTAATTTGCTCTGGAGCCATCCTTTCTGAGCTGAGATAAAAATGTGCGAGCCAGAGGCTAAAAAGCTGTGAGCTAGCTCATACTAACTCAGCTTAGAGGGAACTCTGGCTACAAGTGGTACAGAATGCTGTGGGACCAGAATGTTGACTGGAGTGGGTTATAGAGACCAGTGTTCCCTCTAAGCTGAGTTGGTATGAGCTAGCTCACAGTTTTTTAGCTTCCAGCTGACACATTCTCGTCTTAGCTCAGGAAGGATGGCTCCAGAGCAAACTAATTTATGCAGTAGCCAAATGGCTTGCTCACAAGTTTAATGCCAGTAGCTCACAAAGCAGAATTTTTGCTCACAAGACTCCGCAACTTAGAGGGAACATTGATAGAGACCATATGGCTTCAGTCTTGTTCCATCTATGCCAGCTTCCGGTTTGCTCCAGGGCTCAGTTCAAGGTGCTGGTATTGGCCTTGAAAGCCCTGTATGACCTGGGATGACTTCCTTCTCCCATACGAACTGACCCATTCAGTCCGTTCATTTTAAAAGGCCCTGCTTCAGTTGCCCCCACCATCTGAGGCCAGACAGGTGGCAACCCAAGAAAGGGCTTGTCATGGCACCAAAAGCAAGGAACTTCCTCGCCAAGAGGAAGTATTCGTCCATCTCCCTTTATTGGTGTCTTTCACCAGCAGGTAAAGACTTCTCTGTTTCAGTTGGCATACCCCCCCAGTAACGGTTACTGGCCACTTCCCTGGTTCTGATGCAGTATGTTTAAGAGTTTTCATTGGATTGTTTTATAATTTTAAGTGTTGTTTTTAATAGTTTCAAATGTTTTCATGTTCGTTGGCTTGGGTTCGCTAATTGGTGGAAAGGCAGCATTAAAATATTTAAATAAATAAAATAAAGCAGAGAGTTAATACATACTATACGTGGTAAAGGTTTCCCTTGCTCGAAAGCCAGTCGAATACGATTGGGGGGGGGGGGGTTTCTCATCTCTGTTTCCAAGGCGAAGAGCCAGCGCTGTCCAAAGACTTCTCCGTGGTCATGTGGCTGGCATGACTAAACATCAAGGTATACGGAATGCTGTTACTTTCCCATCGAAGCAGTACCTATTTATCTACTTGCAGTTTCTAGCTTTCAGACTACTAGGTTGGCAGGAGCTGGGGCCAGAGACGGGAGCTCACTCCGTCACGCGACACTAGGGTCTCGAACTGCCGGTCTGCAGCTCAGCGTCTTAACCGCTGAGCTACCATGACTCCACTATACGTGGTGGGATAGTTCAAAGTCCTGTTCCTTTGATAAAAGTGCCTTCATGATGCGTTTTCTTCTAGCATAGCCCTATTACCTTTATAAGACCGTCCTCCTGAACAATTCTGCCTTACATTGTTTCAGACTGCTGTAATCCTAGTCCCGTTACATTGCTTATTAGGTATTTTATGCTATAGACTGTATTGGCCTACATGATACAATTTGCTGTGACTCTCAGTAAGAAATGTAAATAAAAGTTGTTATTAATAATAATAATAATGTCAAGGGCTGTTCTGGAAGGGGAGGGGCCATGGCTCAGTGATAGAGCATCTGCTCTGCATGCAGAAGGTCCCAGGTTCAATCCCTGGCAGCTCCAGCTAAAAGGACCAGGCTGTGGGTGATGTGCTGCTGCCAGTCTGAGTAGATGATAACTTGCTGGACCAACAGTCTGATTCAGTATAAGGTTCATGTGTTCCTACAGGAGTTCAATAGTATGGCAGCAGAGAAGTGGTTAATGAATTATTTCAGAAAACTTGAGACTAAATGAAGCTTGTACAAAACTTTATTGCAGAGGTCTACATTTTTATTTTATTTTTGCTAATGCTTGACCTTGCATTTTCCCCTTTTGTGTTTTAAAAAAATATCCGCTTGGCAAGAGTGTGGACAGGAGAAAGAGGAGTACCCAAAATGCCGTGCTGTAACTCCACGAATGCTTTCCGCTCTCTTAAAATATAACTTTTTCTTCATCATACAGCTTGAGTTTCAGTATTCAGCTAACCCTTTGAACCATGAGGCATGATGCAAACAACACCCAAAATCTCTCAGGCAGCACTGAAAAGAGAAGATCTCACGGAGAGAAACCGGATCTCTGAGGTGCACCTGATAAACTATGGCGAGTGAAGATGACCAGGAGTGGATTTCATTGCTATGAAGTGAAAGAACAGGAGGCGTTGGTGGGGACAAATAGCGTCCCCACTTGAACTTTTCATCTTACATCTACATTATTGATGACATCAGCAAACTGTTCAACTGGTAAGGAATGAAAAATATGAATACGAAAGCATCCATGAACACAGCTCTCCTCAGTACTGATGACATCTGTCCGGCCACTTCATTGGCCCCGAGGCACTTTTGCATTAGTGGGTCCTTCCCACCATAATAATATTAACATTAAACGTTATTTTTGATAGAACTTTTAAATATTTTGACATTTTGCTTTTTCCTGTTTTAGGCAAAATGTAACAGATTTTTGTGGACCCTAACATTTCTTTATTTTTTCCTTCTCATGTGAGAAAAAAATTAAAACATTTTCTTCAACCCTAACAGTTCAGTTTGGTGTAGTGGTTAAGAGCGGCGGACTCTAATCTGGAGAATTTGGTGCTGGGGTGGGGGGTTCAACAGTGGGAGGGCTTCTAATGTCCTGGCCCCACTGGTGGACCTCCTGATGGCACCTGGTCTTTTTGGCCACTGTGTGACACAGAGTGTTGGACTGGATGGGCCTTTGGCCTGATCCAGCATTGGCGTCTCTTATGTTCTTATGAGAACCGCATTTGATTCCCCATTCCTCCACATGAAGCCAGCTGGGAGACCTTGGGTCAGTCACAGTGCTCTCAGAGCTCTCTCAGCCCCACCTACCTCACAGGGAGATTGTAAGCCCCTCTGAGTAAAGGACGGGGTATAAATCCAATCTCTTATTCTTCTTCGTTTATTTTCTTCTGATTTTATGAGACACTAAAACATTTTTGTGGGACCCTTAACGTATCATGGGCCCAGGGCACTTTGCCCACTGTGCCTAACGGATAAGTCAGCCCTGCAGTCCGGTGTTTTCATAGGAGATGAGTGAGATGCACAGAGCTGGAGGGGATTCTGAATGAGCAAGCCTCTCTGCTGCTGATATTCTTACTGGGGTGGGCTCCACAATGTGAAGTTAGGATTCTACTTGTTCCAGTGGCCATTCCTTTAAAAAAAGGTTTTCTAGATATTTTCACCCATGTTCCTCCCGAGAGCCAGTTTGGTGTAGTGGTTAAGTGTGCAGTCTCTAATCTGGGAGAACCGGGTTTGATTCCCCACTCTTCCTCCACTTGCACCTGGCTGGATGACCTTGGGCAAGCCATAACTCTGGCACAGCTGTTCTTGAAGAAGAGCAGTTTCTGTCAAGAGTTCTCTCAGCCCCACCTACCTCACAGGGGGTCTGTTGTGGGGAGGGGAAGGGGAAGGAGTTTGTAAGTCGCTCTGAGACACCTTTGGGTAGTGAAGGGCGGGGTATAAATCCAACCTCTCCTCTCCCTACATTTTACAGTTGATTTACAAACACACATTCCTGAGCAGCTAGACCAGGGATCCTCAACGTGGTGCCCGTGGGCAGGGCCAGGTGGCACTTTTGCCCAATAGGGCTTCTGATTGGCTGTGCAGACATCTTTTTAAACAGAGCTTCTGCCTGAAATGTTGGAGAAGTACTATTAGAGTAATACATAACCTTGGTCTTCAAGCTTTTTGAGGTTCACTCTGCCCCCTGTGACAGCCCAACATTTTGTGGTTGGCTCCGCCTCCTGTGACTGCCATTTTGCGACTGCACCCACTGTCAGAATTCCAAAGATGCCTGCAGGCTCAAAAAGGTTGCAGACCCCAATCTTAGACAACTTACCTGAGTGAATGTTGTATTAGCTGTTAGTTTACAGACAAGAGCTTTCCTCCCTAGTCTGAATATTTCTATTGTTTTTCTCGAGTGTGAATAACTGCATGTCTTGTAAGGTTTGAGTACTGACTGAAGCAAAACCCACATTCCTGGCATCTAAACGGCTTCTCCCCTGTATGAACTCGTTGGTGTATGAGAAGGTTTGAGTTGTGACTGAAGCAACTTCGGCACTCTGAGCACTGATACGGTTTCTTCTTGGTTTGTGTGTGACTGAAGCCCTTTTTGCATTCCCCCGTCTGGACATCTTTATGTCTCTTAAGACTTCTACTGTGACAGAAGCTTTTCCCACAATCCAGGCATTTAAACGGTTTCACCTCTTTGTGGATCCTTTGATGGTTAGTAAGCCTTTTGCTCAGGCTAAAGCTCCTTCCACATTCCAGGCATTTATATGGTTTTTCTCCTGTGTGGAATATTTGATGTTTAATGAGGTTTGCGTTCCGTGTGAACCTCTTCCCGCATTCTGAACATTCATATATTTTCTCCCCTGTGTGCATTCTTTGATGAGTGGTAAGGCTCGAGTTCTGACTAAAACCCTTTCCGCATTCTGAACATTTATAGGGTTTTTCACCTGTGTGGGTTCTTTGATGCAGAATGAGATTTTTACTCTGCATAAAACTCTTTCCACAGTCCAGACAAGTGTATGGTTTCTCGCCTGTGTGGGTTCTTTGATGCCCAATGAGGTTTGTGCTCTGCATAAAGCTCTTTCCGCACTCCAAACATTTATATGGTTTTTCACTCGCATGTATTCTTTGATGCCTAGTGAGGTTTGTACTGTGCATGAAGCATTTCCCACATTCTAAACATGTATATGGTTTCTCACCCATGTGTTTTCTGTGATGTGCAATGAGGTTTGCACTCCGTCTGGAGCCCTTTCCAGACTTCAGCGATTGACATGGTCGCTCCCTCGTGTGAATTCTTTGATGTCTAATAAGACCTGATCTTTCAAGGAAACTCTTTCCGCATTCCAAGCACTTATAGGGTTTCTCTCCTGTGTGGGTTCTCTGATGCATATTAAGGCCTGACTTCATACAAAACCTCTTCCCACATTCCAGACATTTATACGGTTTCTCTCCTGTGTGGGTTCTCTGATGCATATTAAGGCCTGACTTCATACAAAACCTCTTCCCACATTCCAGACATTTATACGGTTTCTCTCCTGTGTGGATTCTTTGATGCACAATAAGAGCTGAGCTTTGACTGAATCTCTTTCCACACTGCAAGCAGTCATATGGTTTCTCCCCTGTGTGGATATTCCAATGCACTTTAAGGGTTGATATACTAGCAAAGGTTTTCCCACAAGTAGAACATTCAATCCTTTTCTTTCCTTCCTGAATTGTTTCATGGTAATCACCACTGTGATAACCAACAAATTTCCCTTTCCCTTTACCCATTTGGCTTTCCTCCTGGTTTGGGGGGATAACATGATTCCCAGTGTTCTCTTTCACCTCTACATTTGTATCACTTCCCTCCAATACTTGACGTGCTTGATTCTCACTCTGTGCGTCCCACACACGGCCTGTTAAAATAAAAGAGAATCTTGATGTGAATTCAAAGAAGCTGAACATCAAATCAGGAAATGTCTGAAATGAAGGCCCCTTTCAGGTAGCCTTTGTCATCTCTTTTGGTAGCCGGTTGCTAACGTAATTTTTTGTGTCATCTCAGATAACAACCGTTTTAGCAACTGGCTGCTAACAGATTTTATTTACCTTTTCATACAAAGCTGCTTGCGTCCAGTTAGCAAAGGGTGGTTGAGCTGTTCCTGAGGTAAACAACTTTCTTTCATTTTTACCTCTTCTTTGGCCTTCCGAATCATTCTAGTGTGCAGTTTAATGTCTGCAGCCCTTCCAATATTTCCCCCTGCCCTTTTCCGCCGCATGTGGCGACAAAGGGCAGGGGGGAGAGCGAGGTGCTGTTTGAAATGGCCCGATCGCTTCAGAGATGGCTCATTAATGGAATGGAATCCACTGTATGAAACCTCCGTCCCTGTATCACTTGACTCAGAACTGGGCCAACAACGGATAGCATCCAGTTTAGAATGGTAAGAAGGGCTGAAGTAATTCAACTCGTGTGGAAAATACAGAATGCAAAAGGCGTGTCTGTCAGGACACCCCTTCAAAAGTTGGTGGGAAAACATTTCTGCAACCAAGATAGATTCAGGTGGGGTAGCCATGTTGGCCTGAAGCAGCAGAACAAAGTTTGAGGCAAGTGGCACCTTGAAGACCAGCAAAGTTTTATTCACGATATAAGCTTTTGTGTGCATGCAGGCTTCTTCAGATACAATGCAATGGAACTTACAAGTCCATACCAAGGCTCCCTCTAAGCTGTGGAGTCCTGTGAGCAAAAATTCTACTCTGTGAGCTCCTGGCATTAAAGTTGTGAGCGAGCGATTTGGCTGCTGTATGAATTAGTTTGCTCTGGAGCCCTCCTTCCTGAGCTAAGACAAAAACCTGTGAGCCGGAGGGTAAAAAACTGTGAGCTAGCTCACACTAACTCAGCTTGGAGGGAACACTGGACTTCATACATACAGGTAGAGGGTGAGCAGTAAATTACCATGTAGCATAATGAAGATGTAACGGATTCAAGGACCAAACAGGAATAACAAGCTCGGAACAGTGACCAAAATCCAGGCGCCACCACTCCCTGCAACATTGAATCCCACATGTTAATGACTCTTTGGGTGAAAAAGGACTTCCTTTTATCTGTTCGAATTATTCTTTGGGTGAAGAAGTGCTTCCTTTTATCTGTGTTTTCATACTGCTCACCTTCCCATAGTTAGGGAATGGGTCCCTTACTTCTTATACTTCACCCTTTTCCCTTACTTCTAAATACCTCTCCCACCCTCAATGTCATCAGATCTCAGAAACTAAGCTGGGTTGTCCCACCACCACCAAGGAAGTCCAGGGTTGCTCGCAGAGGCAGGCAATGGCAAACCACCTCTGTTGGTGTCTTGCCATGAAAGCCCACCATAAGTGGGCCTTCCCACCACCAGAAGTCAGCTGTGACCTCACGGCTCTTTCCACCACCATAGCCTCATCCTCTCCTCTTGAAAACACTTACTTTCATCAGCTGTCGTTTGGAAGAAAACATCCTTGGGCAATCTTCCTGGAGAACCTTCAAGCATTTCTCGTGGTTCAGGGTCTTCCCGTCGGAAGTTCTCCTCTTTCCTCTCTGTCATGGTTCTTTCATCTGGGGGGAGACAGAGAAGACCGTAAGAACCCCCAAAACCTCAGCCCCACTTTCTGCAAAGGCAAGAGAAGCAGAACGGGGGAAGAGTCAGGGAGGGGGGGCAAAGAATACAGAAACAAGAACAATGCTGAGGAAAACGCGCTACCCCTCATCCAATTTCTTCTGAGGAGAAGGCATTTTTGGGAGGAATCTACAGTGGTGTTGCAGCAGAAAGATTAATTCAAAGTACTTTAGTTGTTGTAGGTTTCCCGGGCTGTATGGCCATGGTCCTGGCATTCTAGTACCTGAGGTTTTGCCAGCAGCTGTGACCGGCATCCTCAGAGGTATAACACAGAAAGATGGAGTACTCTCTGTGTCGATGTTGTGTCACATTGACACAGAGAGTATTCCATCCTTCTGTGTTATACCTCTGAGGATGCAGGTCACAGCTGCCAGCGAAATGTCAGGCACTACAATGCCAAGACCACGGCCATACTAACGAACTCTGGCCGTGAAAGCCTTTGACAACAGATTCAAGGTACTAGTTGTAACTGCCCTCACTGGATGTCCCAGGTTAGCCAGATCTTGGAAGCGAAGCAGACTCAGCCTTGGTTAGTACTTGGATGGGAGACCACCAATGAAGTCCAGGGTTGCTATGCCGAGGCAGGAAATGCCAGACCACTTTGCCTTGAAAACCCTAGGGGTTGCCATGAGTCAGCTGCGACTTAACCGCACTTCATAAACACACACACACAAGCTTTCCCCTATAAAACCTTACACAGCTTGGGAGTTCGGTACACAGAGAACCGTTTGTTCCCATATAGGCCTTCCAGGGCACTAGGGTTGCCAGATCCAGGATGGAAAACTCCTAGAGATTTGGGGGTGGAGCCTGGGGAGGACAGGGACCTCCGGTGGGGTACGGTGCCACAGAGTCCACCCTCCAAAGCGTCCATTTTCTCCAGGGGAACTGATCTCTGTAGTCTGGAGATGAGCTGAGTTCCGTTTGTCATGAGGTTCTTTGCTGTCTGTACGTTTTGCTTTGTAGAAGTGGGGGGTGGGGTGCAATGTTCCCTCTAAGTTGTGGAGTGTTGTGAGCAAAAATTCTACTTTGTGAACTACTGGCATTAAAGCTGTGAGCCAGCTATTTGGCTACTGCATAAATTAGTCTGCTCTGGAGCCATCCCTTCCTGAGCTAAGGCAAAAATGTGTGAGCTGGAGGCTAAGAAACTGTGAGCTAGCTCACACTAACTCAGCTTAGAGGGAACACTGGTGCAGTGTTGGAGTGAATGCGTGGGAATGCTCAGGCTAGATGCTTGTAACTTCCCCTAAGAGGCCTCCCAACCGGGAAGAAGAACTGTGTCCTTGAAGCCTCTATTGCCTGGTGTGCTGTGGTAGATAAAGTTATGTAGGTTCACAGGTGTGTGTGGGGGGGGAGGATGGGAATGCAACGCCTTAGCAGCTTGGCAGGATGAATGACTTGGATGATTGGACAGAGTTATGGGGGGGAATAGTTTGAAGGGGGTATAACATTGAGCTTGGCATCCAGTTAGTTCTGACACAAGTTGCCTTGTACCTGTATCGACTGGTACATAAACAAATCTTTCCTCTGAAGAGTGTTGTTGGGATCGAGTACATATGGGGGACCTGATAGCTGTAAATCCAGGGGATCCCCAGGTCCCTCCTGGAGGCTGGCATCCCTCCTTCGGTCCCCTCCTTGGGCTCTAAGGCTCCCTATAAGAATTTAATATTCAAGAAACCCCAACCCGAGGAGTAGGCCCGTTAGGTCTGTCACAGCTGAGACACCAGGTTTCATTTATTTTGATTATTTTTTTATTTCATTGGGTTTAATATTTGAGCCAAAATGGGCTCAAGAGTGGCTCACAAAAAGAATTAGATATAAGTAAACATAATAAAACAAGTTAAAACATTCAGGCAATCCTACAATGAACAGTAAAGCAAGATGGACGAACCAGGTAAAGATGTCCAGGGCAGTCCTTAAAGTAGAGTTGCCATTCCCCCCCCCCCCAGTGGGGCCAGGGGATCCCCTGATTTCGGGGGCACTAGGTTTAGGGCAAAACCAGTTTGGTGTAGTGGTTAGGACCGCAGACTCTAATCTGGGAGAGCCGGGTTTGATTCCCAGCTCCTCCACTTGAAGCCAGCTGGGTGACCTTGGGTCAGTCATAAGTTCTCTCAGAGCTGTTCTCTCAAGGGCAGTTCTTGGGAGAGCTCTCTCAGCCCCACCTACCGCACAGGGTATCTGTTGGGAGGAGAAGGGAAAGGAGATTGTAGGCCACTCTGAGACTCCTTCAGGTAGTGAAGGGTGGGGTATAAATCTATCCTCCTCCTCCTCCTCATTTTTGAGGCCAAAAACCCCATAGAGTGTTGCCCTCAACATCAAAAACATGATGATGTAACTTCCAGTGATGTCATCGCGGCACGCGTGCCAGAAGAAGAGTAGAAGATCTCCAAGGAGGAACCAGGAGGCCCCCTGCCAGCAGCCATGTAGGACTTGGCGACCCTTCCTTAAAGCTTCCTGCAGGATGATTAGACTAGCAATTCCACGAGCAGTGCTGTGGGCAGGGGAGGCCGAGGTGGACTGAACACCCGCCGCCCTCAACCGAAGGCCTGGCGGAACAGCTCCATGTTACAGGCCCTGCGGAACTGTAGCAAGTTCCGCAGGGCCCTGATCTCACCTGGGAGCGCATTCCACCAGGCCGGGCCCAGGGCTGAGAAGGCCCAGCTTGATGCTAAGCGGACGTCTTATGGGTCAGGGACCAGGACCACCAGCAGATGCTGACCAGCAGAGCGCAAGGCTCAGGGATCAATGGCCATGTCAGTGGAAGAGAGTGGACATTTCCAGTGGGGACGGGGGCGGAGGAGTCCTTGAAGGGCGGCTACTGGGCGGTGGCAGTTCTGGAAGGTGACACTGGTGGATGGCCCTGATGCTTCAGCTAACCCTGGTGAAGTGCTGTGCAGAAGGCGGCCATGGTAAACCACTCTGACCTCGAAAACCCTATGACGAAACAATCCAAAATGAAGACAGGACATTTTGGAGCTCATGAATTCATAGGGTCGCCTTAAGTCAGAAGCAACTTGACGGCACTTAAAAGGCACAGACAAGCACCTTAGGGACCAGCAAGACTTTGGGGGGTATCGGCTTTCAAGAGTCAAAGCTCCCTTCATCAGGAAAAAAACACAGTAGTCCTTATACGAACAATAAAAGGTAAAGGTTCCCTTGCTCGAAAGCCAGTCGAATCCGACTCTAGGGTTGCGGTGCTCATCTCCGTTTCAAAGCCGAAGAGCCAGCGCTGTCCGAAGACGTTTCCGTGGTCACGTGGCCGGCATGACTAAACACCAAGGCGCATGGAACGTGTGACCTTCCCACCAAAGTGGTACCTATTTATCTACTTGCAGTTTCTTGCTTTCGAACTGCTAGGTTGGCAGGAGTTGGAACTAGAGACGGGAGCTCACTCCGTCATGCGGCACACTCAGGTCTCGAACTGCTGAACTACCGACCTTCCACAGCCTGCAGTTCAGTGTCTTAACCACTTGAGCCACCGCAGCTCCACTATATGAACAATACTGGGGATTAATATTAGTTGATGACTAAAGAGCTGCACTCCATTTGCCAGCAAATTTGGATAACGCAACAGTGGCCACAGGATTGGAAAAGGTCAGTATACATTCCAATCCCAAAGAAGGGCAATGCCAAGGAATGTTCAAACTATCGCACAATTGCACTCATATCACACGCTAGCAAGGTCATGCTCAAGATCCTACAAGCTAGGCTTCAACAGTACGTGGATAGAGAACTACCAGAAGTACAAGCTGGGTTTCGAAGAGGTAGAGGAACTAGAGATCAAATTGCCAACATTCGCTGGATTATGGAGAAAGCAAGAGAGTACCAGAAAAATATCTACTTCTGCTTCATTGACTATGCTAAAGCTTTTGACTGTGTGGATCACAACAAACTATGGCAGGTCCTTAAAGAGATGGGAGTACCAGACCACCTCACATGTCTCTTGAGAAACCTGTATAAGGGCCAAGAAGCGACAGTTAGAACCGGATACGGAACAACTGATTGGTTCAGCATAGGAAAAGGAGTACGACAAGGATGTATACTGTCACCTTGCTTATTTAATATATATGCAGAGTACATCATGCGAAATGCTGGCCTGGATGAATCACAAGCGGGAATTAAGATTGCTGGGGAAAAGATCAACAACCTCAGATATGCAGACGATACCACTCTAATGGCAGAAAGTGAAGAGGACCTAAAGAGCCTCTTGCTCAGGGTAAAAGAGGAGAGCGCAAAAGTGGGCTTGAAGCTCAACATCAAAAAAACTAAGATCATGGCATCCGGCCCCATCACTCCTTGGCAAATAGAAGGGGAAGTCGTGGAAGTAGTGACAGACTTCACGTTCCTGGGATCCCAGATCACCGCAGACTGTGACTGCAGCCATGAAATTAAAAGACGCCTGCTCCTTGGGAGGAAAGCGATGGCGAACCTAAACAGCATGATAAAAAGTAGAGACATCACCCTGCCAACAAAAGTCCGCATGGTCAAAGCAATGGTATTCCCAGTAGTCATGTATGGCTGTGAGAGTTGGACTATAAGGAAGGCCGAGCGCCGAAGAATAGATTCTTTTGAACTATGGTGCTGGAGAAGACTCTTGAGAGTCCCTTGGACTGCAAAAAGATCAAATCAGTCAATCCTAAAAGAAATCAACCCTGACTGTTCCCTGGAAGGCCAGATAATGAAACTGAAGCTCAAATACTTTGGCCACCAAATGAGAAGGGAGCACTCCCTGGAGAAGACCCTGATGCTGGGAAAGATTGAAGGTCAAAGAAGACGGGGACGGCAAAGGATGAGATGGTTAGACAGTGTCATCGATGCAACGAACATGAAATTGAGCCAGCTTCAGAGGACGGCGGAAGACAGGAGGGCCTGGCGGGAGATGATCCATGGGGTCGCGAAGAGTCGGACTCGACTGTGCGACTGAACAACAACAAAAAGAGCC